GTGACTGCCATTTTTCAACCCTCGTGGGTCTTTTATGTAATCTGTTTACTCAAGAAACATCAGTTGAAGATTGTACTCATAATTAGTAATTATTAGACAGTGAAAAGTCTAGTTATGTTTTCTTATATTAAAATACATGATTTTGGGTGGAGGCCTCTGATAAGACTTTGAAAAAAGAAATAGATGAGGAAGATGTGTATGAAACAGTAATATTCACTTAATGTTATGAATGCCTTTGGGCTCATTCTATATTCAGAAATAATATCTTTTCACTTTATCCACTTCACTTTGGTTTTCAACCTAAGCTCTTATGTTATGAGGCTGCAGTCTACGTAGTTTGATAGAGTTACCCAAATCTTTTGAAAATTTGAGGCAGTTGATAAGTGCCAGGTTAACTGGCCACTAATTAAATGACATAAAAAAATCCTTGATATTTTCATTTTAATTTAAGAAGTAAATATTTATTCTTTTTTTGTTCAGAGAAACTATAATTATGGAGTAGAAAATATTTTTTTTTGTATGGAGATGTATGCCTGAGAGGTTGAAACACAGGGATTATGAGTTCTAGCCTAGCTTAAGCTATATAACAAACTTTGTATCAATAATACAACCAAGCTCAAACTTACCTACCACCCAAACAGCCTTGAAAACTATTTGGTTTAGTAATTTTATAAAATTCTACCAATTTAAAAATGCAAAACAGAAAAATATTTACATTCATTGTTGATAGAAGTGTATTTTAGGTACCAGGGTACTATTAATTACTATTCCATAAAGGACCTTATGTCTCTAGCCGAGGATTTGGAGGTGAAAAGAGAAAACCAGAAAGGGGTGAGAAAGAAAGAATGAATGATTAAACGAAGTAATATTTAGTTACTACAACTTTTAACCTTCTCATCGGGCTCTATTTTTACATAGTTCCTTCTGTATCACTTTAGTTGTACAGTGTTTTGAGTTATAGGTGTAGGCTAGTGTTATAGCATTGCTTCATATGCATGAGATTCTGGGGTCAAGCCCCAGCACCAAAATAATTAAATAAATGAAATAAAAGCAAAACAATAAAAAAAAACAATATTAAATGAAGTAAAGGAATATGTCCAGAGAGATATAAATGTATGATATGTGAAAACAGGAAAGAGATGATGTGGCTTGCCTCCTTTGCTTCTCTAATCTTCAGCTTTAAAACAGTATTTTTCTCTGGGTTTTTATTATTTGTGTTAAAGTTTACAAATCTGGCTTAGCTGACAACTATTCTATGTGGTCAGATACTTAAACTTCAACATCATTTTTAACACTACATTCTTCTCATATTGTGGATACATTAAACAAACATGAAATATGCTTACAGCTTACTTTGTGTTTTGAGTATAAAAAGAACTGTGTTCAGAAATAGTTTCATGTTCAATTATGTTGTGTAGAGTTAATATTGACTTATGAGCATTGCTCTATTTAGTTTTATTATTGTATTATAAAGCTGGAGTTAATGATTTGGAAGTATCAGCTGCATAATTAGTAGTATGTTTTTTTAATTTCTATAAGAATGAAATGAGTCATTATAGACTCTTCTGTTCATATGAATGTTACCCATTCCTAACCAATGTAGGCAGTCATTTCAAAAGTGAAAAAAAATGCTGATGATTCTCAGGCAAGTTACAACATTTAAAGAAAAGTCCCAAATATCACAGGGGCTCAAAAAATATTGAGTAAGAGTTTACTGTATTCCAGGGACTAGGATCTTAACTGGGTTTGCAGAGATTAAATTCCTGACTTCAGTTACCTTACATGTTTACGGTAATAGTACTATGACAAATTGTTAATTATAAATAAAATTATTATCGAAGAACAGAATGAAGGTTTTTATTTTGAAATTGGGCCTTGCAGAAAATCTTAGGGAAAGCTTAGAAGATGAACAGATTTTAAAATATAAGAACTGGCCAGATGTTGATTTAGTGGGAGGCAGCAGCTCACAGCGTGAGAAGTGGTAGCAGAAGCAGTATCATATAAAGAACAGTGGGAAATATGAAACAACATCGTATGTGGAACAATCACTGCCCACCTAGTGTTAAAGCAAAAAGGGTTAAGCAAAAAAGAAGTTCCCAGAATGAGGGTGGGGAATTGATAACATTAGTGGTAGATATCATTTTCTGGGTACTGGTTAATGTGCGTCAGGATATGTATGATCATACTCAATTTTGACAACATTCTCTAAGGTGTATAATCTTTTATTCCTCTTATTGTCTTGCCTGTTGTTCTGACAATGCTATTCTTTGATGGCTTGACCACTGCAGTATGTGCCACTAAAAAGCAAATGGAGGTACCAATGTGGAACGATCACTGTAAGGAGAGATGACACTATTACCCTTTCAGCCTATGTTGGAAAGTTTACAATTCCAGAAAATTCTGACAGTTGGCCAGTTGATTGTACTTTAGAGATGTAGATTTTATGCAACTCCTTTTATGTCAGACAGAAATTTTAGCAACATCTTTGAGGCAGTAAATTATCCCAGCACGTGTAGAGAGAACGTAGGAATTTTGATGAAAACAAGAACAATATGAGGCTATGCAATGATGTGCTTAGCCAATGACATTGTAAAATCCAAGGTTGAATGAATAGATATATATTATTTCAAGGTGAAATCCAAGGTTGAATGAATAGATGTATATTATTTCAAGGTGAAGAAGATTATTTGAGAGTGGTAGATATAGATTCTAAGTGATATCACAGGGACATATATTGAAACTGTATATTTTCACCTGAGAAAATGCAGACTTCCAAAAACATTTATGTGGTTTTTAAATTAATTTCCTTTAATCGAGCAACCATCTTCTTTAGTTTGACAATTGACAGTATTCCCTTGAAATGCTTCAGTATCTCACATTTGTCAGCAGAAGTATCCTGCTCTAGATTATTAAAAGCTGACTAAGTATTAAGAGATATTAGTTTGCTCTTCATTCAGGAGTGTTGCAACAACAGACTCCAGATGGCATTATAGGAATTGTTTTCAGAGCCACATAGTGAAATATAGTCTGATTAAAGAGCTGCTACCACTCCAGAACCAATAGGTCTGTCTAAGTAAAAAATATGTGGCTGCTGCCATCAGCTCCCTATCTACGTCATCTCTATTGCCACACAGTCTAGCAAGATGGATGGCCTGTTCATGGCCTATTTATTCACATAGTTTCTTTCTGACTCTATACCTTTTATAAATGCATTTCATTGGTGAAGACTAAGCTACATGTCTATACTGAAATTATATATAAGGGAAGTAGACAAATGCAGTTTTTTTGGAGTCATTTTAAAACTGAATTTTACAATGTGAGGTTGCATGAAAATGTAGAAGCCATGCCCAAATGGTATTGGGCAGCCAATAATGACAGATCATCACTGGAATCTTTTAACTGGTCTCCTGGCTTTTAGTCAGATATTCCTCAGTTTTCATAACTCAAATCCAGGATAAATATTTACCATCTGTCTTATGTTTTCAAGGGATCTCATACATGCCTCCATTATAATTACTTGTCCCTATTAGATCATGAATTAGTTATGTTTCTTTAGTCAACAGCATACATAACATTTACTAAGGACCAGTCATTGCTTCATAAATAATAGCACTTAATTTGAATATAAAAGCAGTTTCTTAACTTTTCACAGTTCCTTATGTATAGTATATGTTGAATAAATAAGTGATTCTAATTTTGATAGTAGACATAAAAAGTCAGTGCCCTTTGACTTTAATAGTTTTAAATTTTTTCCTGATTGTATTTCATATCTAGCACTGTGAGGAAAACATTAACAAAAATTAAACTGCACACAAGTGGTAATGAATGAGTTCTTCTAGCTACAGTAATAGGAAGGGAATATTTTCTAAGAATAAATGGTTTGTAGGAACAGGTGTAGAGATAAGAAGTGGCAGAGGGGAATAACATGATCAAAGTGTATTTTATACATGTGTGAAGTTTCGTAATGAAGCATGTGTGAGGTTGATAATTTAATACATAGTTTTTGTCCACACACACACACACACACACACACACACACACACACACACACACAGACAGACATAGACGCAGCTAGATTTCCTCCTTTTTTTTCATATACAACAACTTTCTGAGAATTTTTCTTTGGTGATATATCTCCTGTTAAATTTGTCTATCACCTATGTGTTCTTGGGTAGTAGTGGTCCTTTGGAAGCACGGACCAAAGAGTATTTTGTGTGTGTGTGTGTGTGTGTGTGTGTGTGTGTGTGTGTGTGTGTATTTGCTATAGCAATAAGTGCAATAAGTGAATGGCTTTGCTAGTACTGTATAATGCACATCTATGTTATGAACCACCAAAGTATTCTGTACCATAGTTTACAAATATTTTTTCTTTTCATAGTTTAGCTAGATAGAAATATAAATTGCGGTCCAGACCAAGCTAGAGAAACCCACAGAAACTGTTGACCTGAACAAGGGGAGCTCATGGACTCCAGCCTGATAGCTGGGAAACCATCCAGACTCCCTGAATGTGGGTGTTAGTTGGGAGGTCTAGGCACTCTATGGGGCTTCTGGAAATGGATCAGTATTTGTCCCTAGTACATGAATCGACTTTGGGAGCCCATTCCATATAGAGGGATACTCTCTCAGCCTAAATACACAGGGGAGGGCCTGGGCCCTGTTCCAAATGATATGGCAGACTTTGAAGATTCCCCATGGAAGGCCTCACCTTCCCTGGGGAGCAGAAAGGGGATAGGACAGGGCTTGGAGGGGGGAAGAGGGGAGGACAGGAGGGTTCTGGAACTGGGATTGACATGTAAAACAAGCTTGTTTCAAATTTAAATAAAAACATTTAAAATAAAAGAAATATAAATTATGAATATATGTGAAATATACACAGAATTATGGTATCTCATGTACTAAATAATAGTGACCTATCCAAAATGATTTGTTGTGAAATATTAATTGCAATAATCACTTTTGAAGGATCTATCCATCCTCACAGTAGATGTTATTTTAAACAGGAGGATATGAACCTTAATGAAGAAAAGAAGGCTCCTTTACGAAACAAGGATTTTACCACCAAGCGTGAGATGGTTGTCCAGTATATTTCTGCTACTGCCAAATCTGTAAGTAAGGACACTTCCCAGACAACCAACAGAATTAGCTTAGTTGTTTGCTTAAAATTTGACAAACCTCAGCTCTTTAAATACTTGCCTCAGTGAACTCATATTGCCAATTAAGGAAATGATACATATACACTTTTACATATTTTGCACATATATCTCAGTACTGAACTGTTCATTAGACATGAGAGATCCATTATTATAAGCAAGAGACCAATTCAGTCTCTTGACTGAGTTCAGTGGATATAAGGGCAGAGGTTTTATGTAGTCACTAAAAATTTGCAGTGTTTTGCTGTTATTCTACCTACTATACAGATTGCTACATGAAAATTTCAGAATTTGTGGGAGCAAACACAAACAGCACAGCCACCTTTAATTAAGTTTACATTGAAGCATGTGGTTTTTAAGGATTTTTTCTTATTTTGCTTTGTTGTTTTGAGTGCGAACTGTGTAAGCTGTCTCATAACTGGTGTGGTAAAGCTCACGTTAATATAAAGGAAAGAACACACCGGGAACTTTAATCAAATCTGTATGAATTTCAAAACCTAAACCTTTGTTTCATTGGAAGAATTTATTGTCAAGAAGAGAAACTTACTGCTTTAATAGAATTGCTTATTTTTTTTCTTGTTACCCTTCTAAGGCTCCTTGAAAAGTAGCTTTAAGATTTGATTTCTTTTTGTAGGAGAAAATGTATTTTTGATATGACAAAATATAGCTCCTGTATTTCTGTAAAGAGCTTTATATGTCCCGATTTCAAGAAAATCATTGTATGGATGTGTGTGTGAGTGTGTGTGTGTGTATGTATATATATATATATATATATATATATATACATATATATATATATGTATATATATATATATATAATTTATATATAGGTACATGAATATATATATATATATATATATATATATATATATTGCATATTTTTCTTTGTACAAATGCATTTAAGACAAAGTATTTTCAGGTTAAAACATTGACCACTGAAGAAAATGTCCTTAACTGTAAAAGCATATTATAGCATCATTTGGCTATGTCATTCATACATTTTAGTACACTAATTCCAATAGCAACACCTGAATTTTGGAATTGTATTGATTCTATATTGTACTTTAGGCAAGCTAAATCTGAATGCTGAACTATTTAAACACAATGCATTGCAGCCCTGCCAGAGCAGAGCAACAGGATGTTTTTTAATTTGGTTGTGGTATCCAAGGGCAGAAATATGTTTCAAGTGATAAGTAAAATTTGCCACGAGCATAGTTTTCAATAGAATTAGATGATGCATAGGGTTTTTTCCTTTGAAATTCTGATGAATCTCTTCTCATTTCTGCACTCAAGTTATTGTTCCCAGTAAAATGCTCTAGGAAATTTCAGGGCGTATATTCAGTGTGATTTTTCAAAAGCTTAGAGGCAGGCAACTATACTAGCAATATATATATATATATATGTGTATATATATATATATATATATATCTGAGTACAAAGTGGAGATAATATATGACTAATGATATTGTATTTTAATGGAATTTGTTAGCATCTCTGGCTCATTTGTTGGTGTTGTTTGGGTAAGTGGGACTGACTATAATGAAGATTATGTGACGTCTTCTTTCCTTAACCTTTGGATAATTTCTCGTTATCTGTGAACACCATATTTTAAATTTTGTTCATATCGTGTTCTCTTTAACCCATCAAAGACATATACACTTTAATTCTTATGCTCATTTTTGGATTAAAATGAAAAACAATTGGGTGAAGCTCTAGTTTACCATGAAGTGTGCCTGCCTGACCTATTAAGTCTCTGAATTCCATCTAGCACTGGAGAGAGATTGAGAGGAGGAGATACAAAAAAGTGGAGGAGGGAGGAGACTTGATAGGTGCTTCTTCTCACTGCTTTATTCAAATGATAGATATGGACTATTTCTTATAAGACACGAGATTTTCCATTTTAAGTAGCCACAAAATTAACACTACTGACTGGATGGCCCTTATTTGTGTCATTCAACGTATTTGTTAGCTCTTCTTCTCTCATAATAATTCCAAGATTATAGTTTTTGCTATTAATTTTTCTGGGCCAAATAATTTGATGGAAGAGAGCCTGTTGACAAGCAGTGAAGCTTTCTCACCTTGGAGAGACATTAATTAGTACTGTTTTCTATCATTAAAACTACAATTTTTTTTTGTAATTTCCCTTTAAAGTTAAGAGGGATGTCATTCAATGAATAACAACATTCAGTATGAAAAAATTATTTCACCTGATCTTCATCATGACTGTCGGTTTTGCACCAATTATCACTGAACATGTGGCTGTTGCCTGTGTGGAGCTTAGGTTCCTGCCCTTCTGTCTGGCTTTCAGAAGGTGTTACATTTTTTACTCTTTTTCATTATATTCGTATACTCATTAAAGATGCTTCCTCATTTAATACAGATATGATGATAACTATCATGTGATAAAAAGGCTTTGGAGGTAATCAAAGGTCTCATCTGAGAGTAGAACCAGTGTTAAAGTCCAAAAATGTTCTATATTTACATGTAAGATATGGAAGGACTATAGTTAAATTTCAATTTTAAATTGTTCCCCCTTTAACTATCTGCATTCTTCTTTTATATGGAATTTCAGCAATGAAAATGTGAGCTCAGAGAGGAATAGCCATCATGATGTTTCTGGGAAACGGCATTAAAAGATGATGTGTCAGAATCTGTTTCTAAAACAAACCAGTCTGGTGCTGTATCATTAATTTTTGTTATAATTAGGATTGGATAAGATGATATTAAAGAAACCACAAGTCTGTGTTGTAAAACTATTTTTTTGGTCATCCACACACATTTATTGTAAAGTTCTATAATAGATACTCTGTATCCTAAAGTAATAGTAAGATTGAGTAACCCAATGATGACTAAACTTCTTTATGTGGAGAACCAAGTGTGCTTTTATTGCTCTGGGAGCCAAACACTTGTTATTGTAGGAGGTACCGTTCTAGGCCTGACCAAAGGGAGTTAGCCTATATGGATTATTTATTTACAAATAACAAAGAAGATTGTATAGTCTCAAAGTGTCATTAAGGAACTGGAAAACAAGCTGTTGGTATTGTAAAAGCTGTCCTAATGATTCATAACCCAGAAAGAATCACATTGTGCTGGTGATTTAGAGACGATCTTGCATACTCCTAACAGTGTATGTAGACATGAGGAAATTATTCACCAGAGTCCTAATGTTAGTGAATTGCACACCATTGTCCTCACGACAATAAGGAGATAGCAGTTTACTTCTAAGTTTAATTACTAGTTTTGAAATTGAGATTTTAGAACATGTCATATTATACTTTTGACAAGTGAGACATTCAGAGGTATAATTTGTTCCTGCCAAATCCAACTTAGTTAGATCAATTATATCTACAGATTTGTACACTTAACCAATAAAATAAGTAGTTGAAAGTTGTGCTACACATGTCAGTATGTATGTATTTACTGTGGCTGTGTTGTTGCTATTATCAGATACTTTTTCCTCAGGTCCTTTTCATCCATGGGCTGGATAATGAGAAACAGTTGAGCCCAGATGTGACCAAACTATTTTCTCCTTGTTTCTCTTAACTGATTAATCTAAAATATTTCTGTCTGTGATTTAGCTATATGAAATCATCTTGCAATCTGAATGAGTCATTAAAAACAGACCTTCAATGGGCCACGTTTTAGTTGTTTTGCTGACTGTGAACCTGTCTTAATGTTTAACCCAGGCTCATTCTTTCCTTTTGATCTCATGCTGTGCTAAGGAAACAAGGGACAGAGATAGCCTCTGTCTTCTTTAGTGGGAGGAAATAATTTAGGTCAACAGCATATCTTTAATTTTAGAGGATTGTTAGTGAGACCAAAGAAGTTTTATTCATCTAAATAATCTCTTGTTGTAAACAGTGTGTTGCATGAATTTTTAAGGAACTTGCTTCTCTATTTGGAGGCTCGTGAATTCCTCTGAAATCATTGACAGCCACCATTATCTTTTTGTATCTTGTAGTATTTTACTCAGCTGATGATACTTATTTGGCTTTCAATTAAATTTTAAAAGCACTAGCTGAAAAATACAACACGTATTGATACTGTTATCACATGAATGGTTTTGAATGATGAATTAGCTCTTTTTTATACAATGCTTGATATTCAAGTGTGGGAAACTTATAACAGTGATTGGACTTATATTTGGATTATGGCATAGAGTATGTTTATGTTGAGAGTTTCCTCTTGTTTTCTTAAACACAGTCATGCCTCTCAGAAATTTTCTCACATCTTGAAATTTCTGATTTTTCCTCCATATTAATATGTGCATTCTTATGGATAAAATACATTGTTTGTTCGCACATTATATAGAAAACTCTGATTTCATTCTTGGAACAGTAGGATGATCCAGAAAAGAACAATACTAACAAATGTGTCTCATAATTTAAAAGTATAAGTTAAAATGATACTGTACCTTTTAAATTTATAACACTATATAATATTCAGCTTTTAAGTAAAGTTTATATCAGAACTTGATGCATGACTTTAAATGCAACATTTATATTTTAAAGTAACTAACTCTGACCGTAACACTATATTTGCCATAGCTAGGAAAGAAAATGAGAGTAATATTTGGAAAAAAGTTTCTACTGATAATTTCTTTGAGGGGCTATGAATAGGGAAATTATCTGAGTGTATATTGCAGTTATATTTTATATTTAGATTGTAATGCATGGAAAACCAATTACAATGCAGATTTTAAAAAAAATTCTACACCATCATGATCATTTTCTCTATATGTAGACTGTATATTTGAAATGGCACACATTAATATTGGTATCTTGTTTTAAAGTTTATTAGAGTAGTCCAGTGACTAATTTACTAAACACTTAACACCTGTCAAAGCTTCTGATTACTAATATGATTGCTGTTTGTTTTTTTTTTTTTTCACACCATAACCATTCTCCGTTGACCACTGCATGCAGATAGTTGGAAGTAAAGTTACGGTAAGTAGAAAAGATGTGTTTCACCTTTAGTACTAAATTTGTGTTTCAGAGATTTGTGATTTTTGAATGTAGTAGTTAATGTTTTTTTTTTTATTTGATGTATATTTTCCCAAAGTGCTAAGATTAAATATTGAAATCAAGTGATTAAAATTTAGCTAGGTTAAATACTTTCTTATAGTTTGAATATGTTTTAAAAGAAGTAGAATATGCCTGAGTTTTCTTGGAAGTTTTTTTTTTCTGTTCCCCCCACCCCTTGGAGAATCACATTTCTGTCTTTTAGATAACTAGGGTGAAATTGTGTGCTATATGTCAGTTTTTCGGGGGAATCGAGTATTTGTGTGTGTGTGTGGGGGGGGTATTCCTAAAGTATGGACCTTCTTTTTACACAAATTCCAAATTCTTATTTTGATGTGTTACTTTTGTTTTGGCATTATTGATGTGTGTGTGTGTGTGTGTGTGTGTGAGAGAGAGAGAGAGAGAGAGAGAGAGAGAGAGAGAGAGAGAGAGAGACTGTGTGACTGCATGTGTGTGCCTGTGTGTTCATATCGACTAATGCTATGCAGTTAAAAGGCCTGCTGACCTGGTTTTGTAGGATAATATATATTGGCTCTGACATTTGGTAATTTTCCCCTGAACTTCAGTTATTAGGTAGATATCTTGAATTTTTCAACTTATGTTTTAAGTTTCTTGTTGGTGCTACCATTTAAAAATTATATAGTTACGGTGTTGCAGTTGTAATATAACAAACCGGACATTCCCTGAATTGTATTTCAGAGATGTTTACTATTACTTTGTGGGTTGAGTATATATCATTTATTTTGAGAATATAGAGTATGAGTCATCTTTAAAATCACAGAAAAATGATGAATTTAACATAGTGAATGTGTATAATATTTGATGTCCCTTTAAAAGTTCCTTATTATTCTTTCCTTCCCTCTTTCTCCATGGGAGATGTTACATATGGTTACCAGAAACATGTTACTATTCCTCTTAAAAGCTTCAAAAAGTTCCCAGTTCCCTTTTATATCTCATCTCCACTTCATTAGAATGTTACATTTACTTGTGTGTGTATGTGTACATGTGTCATGACATATGTATAGAGAGGTCAGAGGACAACTCCCTCAAGTCAGTCTTCTACTATGGGGATTTCACTCAGGTTGTCAGGCCACTGATCCATGTCTCTGATCTTAGGCCTCCTTTTTATAATGTCATCTTTAGCGTTGTTCCTGTGTTTATCTTGACAGGTACTCTTGACAGTTCCTAAGGACATTTTTCTTGAATCTTTCTAAATTAAGCATATATTAGCTTTTACTTAGAATGATCTTTTCTTCTTTGGTGGCCCAGCAAGTACCTAAGTATCCATCTTGATTAACTTCCATGTTGCAGGAAGAAGCTCTTCCATGTTAGTCATTCAATCCTCTACTACCATGTTTTTACCATTTTTTGAAGAAAGCTCTTCCATGTTTTCTTTTGCCAATCAACACAGCTTGTTTTTTCAAGAAAGTGGGTCTAAAGGGGAACAAGATAGATGATCACAGACAGGTTTTGGAACACATAAAGGATCCAAAGAAGTCCCAAAGAAGGAGAGATCAGCAGCTGTGCATGGGTCCCAGAGTGTTTTGAAGGGTGACACTTTGAGACAAGTGCCATGGATAGATCAAGAGTATGTGTTTTTTTCATAACCAATTTCTGCTTCTCACATTTGAACTGTCAACTTCTGTTGTAAAGAGAGTAAACTATAGGAATCCCTTCTACAGAAAATGAGGAAGATTTAATTTAAAGACATGAGGGATGCATTATGGAGATTTGTTTTGTCCTTATTTTACTTTATTTTTTTGCACATAAAGAGAGAGAGATTAACAAACAATATATAAAATTACCTCTGCTAAAAGACAGCTTTAAAGGCTTATGTGTCATGGGCTCATTAATCTTAAAAAGGTGGGAGGAGTATTTTTCCTTGTAAAACAGGCAGATGGAAATTTCACAGAGGTGCTATAGACAGTAGAATTCTCTTATAACCAATTTGAGAAATCTGATTACTTAGAGATTTTTAGCATTAGTTTTAAAAAAACGAGTGTTGGAAAAGTCAGAATTAAATTGGAAAAATGGAATATACAATGAAATAGGTCTGCATGGCCTTTTCAGGTTTGTTTCTCTAACTCTGATTGCAAGCTGAAATAAGAGTGTTGGAGGCCCTGCTTCTTATCATTTTTACCATTGCTGTTGCTTTTCAGTTTTCATATTCATAAAGCTTACTTTAAAAATCAAACCTGAAAGGTGCCTGTTATTGGGACCCAGCAACAATTTCATCCCCAGATCATACCAATTCTGGCTTTATGAATATTTTCCCCAGATTTTCTCCACAGCTTTTACTTGAAGTCCTTCTTAATTCGGATTCCCCAAACCACCTCCCATTTCCACCTAATACATTACTGTAATTCCTTAACTCTTTCTTTTATACATGTTGTTCCTTTCTCTCTGGTGATTTCTGTTACTTCATATAGTCCCTAAGGGCTTTTTAAAATTGACATTCATATTTTACTTTATTGTAATTTATGTACTTGAATACTAGCCTCTATCATTGTTTGTGTTTGTCTTTCTGTGTCCACAGGACACATTCTATGTCTTATAGAAGTCATATATTCATAAGAAAATGGGTTCAGTTTCAGACTCTGTTGCATAGGACCTGTATGATCTTGAGTAATTTACAGGCCATACATGAACCTCAGACTTCTCATTGTGAAATGCAAATACTAACTTCAGGATAAGTTTCAGTATGTATTTAAAATATAAACTCTTCAATCATATGTCCACTTGATCATTTCATTAATTATGATAGTTATGTAACATGACTTGAAACTATAAAATATAACAATTACACTGTAAACTGAAATTAAGAATTAAGACCATGAAGTATTGTTTTTTTCTAAGCATACAAGATCTATGCTCTTTGTAGGTTTAAAAGTAGAAATACAATGATTTCTGGGTCAAGAATGGTGGGAAGGCTGTGCAGTTGTGGCACATGCCTTTTATTCCTGCACTTGGATGGCAGAGGCAGGTAGATTTCTGAGAGTTTGAGGCTACCCTTGTATACAGTGCTAGTTCAAGGACAGCCATGAGTTCAGAACATAGTGAAACCCTTTCTCAAAAAAAAAAAAAAATGGTGGGAAGGATTTCGCTGAATGTTAGAAGAAGGTTTCGTTTCTTTATTGGAAGCCGTGTGTTATTGCTGGGCTTTGAGAAAGAAGCAAAACAACAGCAGCAGCAACAACAAACACAATAGAAACCCTCCTATGTGGTCTCAAGTTAATACAGACACGATTATTTTAAAGACTCACTAAAATAGTTGAAGATTTTCTATAGATTCTGTCCATGATTACCATTATCTCTCTGAAAGTTACAGAGAATTTGCAGACCGATAGAGGTAGAACTGATTGTTGACTTTTTGGAGGCTTATAGTTCTAAATAAGTGTGGTAGAATTTGTGTACCAAAATAGATTTTATTGTTAGTAACACATCACATACAACAGATTTAGATGATTGATTTGATTTTCCTGCTGATACACACAAACACACACACACACACACACACACACACACACACACACACACAGAGAGAGAGAGAGAGAGAGAGAGAGAGAGAGAGAGAGAGAGAGAGAGAGAGAAATCATTCTTCTATAGGGAAAAAGGTCTTGACTATACACGATACTTTAAAAAATATAAATATAATGATTAGCTCTTATAGGGTTAAACATAAAGAAATTTAAGATAATAAATAGGACAGTGTCTAAGGCAGCAGCAGGGACTTTGGGGTGTTTGTTTTACCTATGGAAAGAACATATTTTAAATAGATGACTTATGACCAGACATGGTGGTTGAAGGTGCTCAATTTTGCAACATATAAGGCAAAAGAAGGTGACTCTCTTGAGTTCAGGGTCAGCCTGGTTTACATATCTAGCTTCAGGCCAGCCAGAGCTACATAATAAGATACTTTATCAGAAGAAAATAAATAAATGACTAATTTAACATGCGTTTATTCCCTCTGACAGTGTAGAGACAGGGCCTGATGTACCCAAGGCTGGCCTTGTATTCCTCATCTCCCTGAAATGAGCACCACACACTGCCATTGCAAGCATACCCTGCCACACCCAATGCCTTCATTATAAAACCCAGAATTATTAGGTACCTGTTCTTGGTATTATTACCAGAGACCCTGACCATAATGCCTGACTTTGCATTCTAATACACGTCCATGTTCAGACAAATGGCCATAAATTACATGAAACTGGAAAAAATAAATTTTGCCCTTTATGCTAATATTGGTGGGAGAGAGCCAGTTTTGTTCTGTGTCCACCTTTCCCATAGCAGTGTTATAACTTACAGGAAAAGATGAAACAATAGCCTCGAAATGCACATATAGACCTTTGCCTTTAGGCTCCATTTAGGGAACTGGTCAGTCCTTCTGGTGAATGGACCATTTCCACTCTTCCTTGATAGAATCAGTAGAAAGCTGGAGCTAAGGACTACAATTTAAATACTCACATACTAATTTCTAGGTCTCCTTGTAGTGTTAGCATGATAAATTATACAGGTTGTCCTCATAGAGCTAACATTTTAGTTGGAGGAACATAAAGTAAGACACATATCAAATATTATGACAGGTTTTTGGCAAGTGCTGTGGGAGGAAAAATGTAAAAAAAAAGAGCAAGATGAAAAAGCTCAGTGATCAGGGATGTACTCTTAAACAGGTGAGGTATGTGAGCAAGAGAACTCAGTGAAAATGGAGAATTGTGCCAATATCTAGGGAAGAGCTTTGTAGGCAGAGACAATGTCAAGTGCAAAGAAAAACCTTGCGGCAGGAATGTGCATGAATGTTTGAGGAATAGAAATGAGGACACTGTGGGTAGGTAGCATGGGATGGGCAAAGGACAGGAAGGGTTATTTATTAACCAATGCTAAGAGCTAGAAACAATAGCTGAACATACATTTAAGCATACCTAGCGGTCTCCAAACTTGGAAAGGTAAGCTGAAGTCATTTAGGAGAACTGTATGAAAGACT